CCCCTGTTGACTGAGGTTAGATTCAGGCCCATGTGTCATACTCCTTTCAGTATGTTTTAACCACAAAGCCATAGACTGCTCTGGGGAGTAGAGGAGGAACATTTTTCAGTCTTTCTAGTGAAAACTTGTTATTGTGCAGAGTGGAATCCAAGATTAGCTGGACTGGAGAGAAGCATGACTCTTTTGTACGATAAAATGCAATAGGATGAGAGTACAGTTGTGAGTCAGTTTTCATTACAAAGCACAAAAGTATTTCTTGGAGAAGTTAGGACATTGTGTCTCCCCAACCAATGGGTTTTTGTGTGTTTTACACGTAACATTCCCAAACAGAGCACACTGATTCCAGGGCTCCCTTGTACAGTGAGAAACAACCTAGAATTAGCTCCTTCTTGTTCCCTCTTCTGATACAGGGCATCTTGAGTTTGTTTTTACATACAGGGATGGGTTTTGCAGGAAGAGCTGTAGCTTGTTTCCAAAAGAAGCCCCAAACAAGTATATGGACATGGTTCTTTAGATCGAAAATTTGGCTTTGATTGTTTTCATGTGGAAGAGAGAATGAGAGCTGATTCACTACTTGGTGTTTTAACTATTAGGGTGTTGTATAGCAAGGCAACTATATCTCAATAAGAACATAAAATCTTTGCTGAGCTTATTAACATTTACCCTGAAGAGACTGACAGCCTGGGGTTCATGATCTTTTAGACTTGATAAAGGACTGATAAAGGATTAACATTTACCTGTTCACCATTGTAATGCAGAGCTCAGTGCGTCAGCTATTTTGGATCTTGTTCATTACTCTGTTACTACCTTCATTACTCTTTCTATGACTTCTCATACAATGTTCTGGATTTTGCAGGGGCAGACAGATGCCTAAAAAGCAAGCATTACAGTATGTAGCTTAAAGACAAGAAAATATCTTCTAGGCTCTAGAAAGATCTAAGTGCATCTGGGGAGATCTGGAGAGGACCGGATCTGGGAAAATCAGATGTGGACGCACTACCTACCTTAGTGAAAGGCTGAGATAAAGCAATGACTGATCCAAGACCCTCAAGACCTGGGACATTATCCAAATTATTGAGCTGTTTTCCTCAGTATGTCTTCTCTCTGCTTCACAACATAGAAAATATCTTACAAGTAGCTTCTTTTGGATTACACTGTATATTCAGCACCGTGGATATTTTGCTAACTTACCACAAAACTTGCACCAAGTATGTTTTCCTACAAGTATAGCTTATAGTAGAAATAAACAGGTGGCCTCATTCCTAATAGGAAAGAGCTGAATGTTAAAAAGAAATGAGTACAAGGTTTTCCTGAACAAATCTCATTTCTTAAAACTTTATTGACTGCTGTCCTTCAGGGAAGTTTCAAGGAAAGGCATGAAGCAGTATCCCCTTTCTTAGGTCAGAGATTTGGTGTGGGTTTTTTGTTCTTTCTGTGAGTTTTTTGGTTTGTTTTTAATAAAGAATATCTGGCTGATGTGAATTAGCACATCAGTTTCAGGGACTCTTAGCCAAGAATTTGTGCTTGCACAGTAGGCCTAACCCTGAGAATTTCTCTAATAAAATAAAGTATGACTCAGTCTAAATGAATCATTCACAATTCTTCTTTCTCTGTTTGAAGGATATTCACTGCAGATCACGATTTCCTGAAATATATTTGCTGTTTTTCTGGTTATTTTATAACATTGTCTGATGATTGTCAGTGTTTTCTTTTTTTGCTGATTTTTTTTTAAAGTCACACATATTTGTATTTTAAAGCCTGTTTATTTATGATTGCTGAGAAGGTCAGCCAAACATGATCTTAATCCCTGTTTCTTAGAACAAGATTTTCAAGTATT